GTCGTGGGTCGTGGGTCGTGGGTCGTGGTCGTCATCGTCGTCGCAATAGCAGCAGCAGCTGCAACAACAGCAGCAGCAGGAGGAAAAAGATGAGAGCAGCAGCAGCAGCAGCAGCAGCGGCAGAGCAGCAGCAGCAGCAGCAGCAGCAGCAGCAGCAGCAGCAGCAGCAGCAGCAGCGGCACTACTTACTAGTTGCAGGTGCCCATTCGCCTGCCACACTGCCTGCCAAACGTCTTGATCTGAAAGGCAGTTCCACACGCCGTCCGAGGCCAGGACGACAGCCCAGTCCTTGAAGCCCCCAAACCCAGATCTTCCAACCCGTGGACCCCGCTATCAATCTCCCCAAGCAGAACTCGAGTCCCCTTCGGTCCTCCGGCTCGAGCGTATGGACCATCAGCTCCGGCTCAGCGATGACGAGAGGCCGCGGCTCCTGTGCTTCGAGCTAAGGGCTTTGCTGAGGGCGTGGCTTTGCCCTAGTATAGGAATTAAAAGAAAGCTTTCGTTGCGAATTTCGCGCTCCAGCCGCTCTCGCCTCAAAAGCTGCGTGGAGGCAAGCGCATGCTCGGTCTTCTGTGTCCGTGCGCTGCAACCCCCTCCCCGGCCGCTCCTTAAGCTCCAGGTCTCCGAAGGATCGGGAGGTGGAAAGAAACCTCGCACAACACACACAACGGCTGGTGAATCGAGCGCTGTTGTACACCACAAGACATGCGGAGACCAATGCGGCGCGGAGCCATTGGCCGTTTTTTTTGCCAACCCGGTGTGTGCCGCAGGGCGTAGAGATGACGATGCCACCAGCTTGCTGAATGCGGGCCGTCTCGTCGGGCCGCTCGGGCTTGTGATCCTGCAAGAAGCTCGGTCCGACGGTACTGGGAACTTCCTGGAGCGGTCCTGGGTCAAGCGGATCGCCTTGCGCCCACGGAGGAGCACGGCCCGGCAGTCCCCGCAGTTTGCCACGAAGAGTTTCGTGCAGCCACCGGGTTTGCAGCCTTCAGGTTTTTATGGCTTTCCCTTATCCGGATTGCGCTGGTCTTCGACACCGCAACTTCTCCAAAACTGCTCCCAACCCCAAGCGCTTAGCTTTAGGACCGGTGAAAGCATCCCTCGCTAAAGCATGCAAACAATGCAGGCTGGTAGACTCAACACAGATTGCTGCAAAACCGGGCACCTGAACCCTGACTGGCGACCTTCCCAGTGCAAACCCAGCTTCCTACTTTTCGGCCTTCAACCAGGGATCGTGTGGACGGCCCTTCGTCCTCAAAGCCATGGGCCAAGAGTGCCACCAGACCCGTCGAGCCGTCGTTCAGGTGCCTGCTTTCTACCGGACTGCAAGAGTCAAGCAAGCAAAAGCGGGAAGGTGTGTACTGCTACACCACATGAGATCTACGAGTAAGTACCTTGTTCATGACAGTGGATTCGACAGTGGATTCGATTGAACCGACCTATCTGTCATTCCTGCAGCAGTCCTTACCCCGTGGAACGAAGGCAAGGTGCAAATCGCGTGCTTTTTGCAGGTATTCGGAGTCCGTCTGCACGAAGGCGTTACGACATGCGACTTCGATCAGCTTCTCCTCCTGTGCATTCTCTCCGCTGCGGTCCACTCTCTTCAAACGCGCAAGGCAAGCGACCTGTCAGGGCGCACAATCCTCGCTGGGAGTCAAGGCGTTGATACCTCCAAGCTGCTGCGCCAGACCCAGGTAGCCTCGGTTCTCGAGACTTCAGAGGGGGCCACTGTACGCAACTATGCGACTCAAATTGACACCCCGCGGCTCTCGCGGATCAGCTCGGGAAGGCGTTGCCTCACGAAGTCCACGCAGTGCTGCCCGCCATGTCCATCAAAGACTCCAGCCAGGAATCCGAGATCGTAGAGATCACAATAAACCAAGCGGTCTTCGTTCACCGCTCGTCCGCCGATGCTTGTGTTCACACCGCACTCTAAGCCAATTTGGTCCGGGTCCGTGGGGCGAACATCCGTACAGCCATGCTGGACATTATCTTTGGGCTTGTCCGGATCCAGAAAGGAGACGATCCGAAAGACCACACGGGTGCCGTGCATGAGACCGCCTGGTGTCGCCGGGACGCAGTTCCGGTTCAGGGCCCCACCCACTGGGATGAAGACCTTTCTGCCATCCTCCGCATCGATGAGACCCGTCTGACGCCTCCCGTTGTACCACCGAATGTTGCCATAGCACTGCTTCCGCGGGGAGCGCTTGCGCGGAGACTTGTGCGGCGAGCGCGAGCGAACCATTCTTTGGCAGTTCCGGCTCGTGCTCCTACTTTGGTAGCCTGCTAAAAGACTCTATTAAACCTGCCATCGCCGTGACATCACGCCAAGCAGCCTTGACGTGCATACTTCGGGTAGAAGGGGTATACACACAAAGTGGGTCATCAGAACATGATTCAAGCCAGCACTTGCTTATTTCGCTCTTTCAGTGGGTGCTTGAAGTTTTGAAAAGCTTCATGGACCACCTTGCTGCAAGATCGGATGGCTGCTGTGAGGCAGCACTTCGCAAGAGACTTGCTTAAGGCTCCCAACTCGCAAGCCTCCCACGGAGAGGCTTGCGAGGACTCACCTGTCTAACTTCAGTGAGGGTCCTCGGTCAGACGTAGGGTGTGGATGAAACTATTGCCTGCTGATTTGGGATCCCCAACATTCCGAGATGTAACCCGTTGCGAGCCGCCCTGATTTGCAACAGGCGTGGCGCCAAGTTCGGCAACTCGCACTCCTGGTGAAACATCTTGCCAAACTGTCATGCACTTTCCGACACACGAGACAATGTCATGAACCAATTTGCTGATTGAAGCTTGAGCCTTCCTCGGAGTCTTCGTGTGCAGAAGTCAAGAACTAACGAGGTGCCGCTTGCCGGAGTTTGACGGGTTGGGGTGGTGCTTTCCAGTGCGCTGTGCGTTTTCGCAGAGACTGCCGCAAAGAAAAGCAACATGTAGGCTTCTCAAAGATGGCTGGAAGGGAGGGACCCTGCTCTGCAAAGCGGACGAGCCGCTGAGCCGAAATGTCATCACGCGACAGATGCTTTCTCAACGACGGCAAGTTTCCTAACTTGTGATGTAACTTTCAAACGTCGTCAAAACCCGCTTCTGTCGGCACCCGTGCTACATGAGTAAGCGCTCTCAAGCGGATCGCGCAGTGGAGGAGCTGGAGGCAGGCTGCACAGAACCTCTTGGCTCAGAAGATCTGACGAGCTTGACCCGGATGCATGCAACAGTTTGCCTTGAGATCTCTGCTTGGCAATCCACACAATATCCCAGTTTCGGCAATGCATCTACCCCTTCATAGAAGCAAGCCCGAAACTTGGGAGTGCAAGCAACGCGCATGTCACTTCTGCATTGCAGGAGTATCGCCGATGCTGTCTCACATCCTACATCGCACTGGATGCAAATTCACCACAAGCAAGAGAACTCTTGGTCCAATCCTGCCTGGTAGCCTGCGTTCTGAAGCCCACCTCATAGAGGCTCCACAAAACTGCTGGCCCGAAATTCGGGGCAGACTACAAAGCTGTGTAAAATCCGGTGGGTTGACTCGGTTCGTGGCGTTGTAGTTTGGGGTCGTCGAGTCGTAGACTATGCTATTCCCACATGTTGTAACCAAGCAGCTGCAGCACTCTCTCCAGGCATTTATGAGTCGCAATCAGCCCTCTTCGTGGCCTCATTCTCTGCTTCACAGTGCCTTGATTCCTGGGATGTGAGCTGTCATTGCCGAGCGGAGGCGCAGGAAGACGTGAGGCACTGGACCTTGAGAGCCACACGAGGATGTGGCTTCTGGCATATCGAATGGGCTGCAGAATATTCCGGAGCTGTTGCTCAAGCCAGTCTGGCATGGCATGCCCTAGGTCGGAGTTAAGACTTTTGGACCTCTTCTCAGAAGTGCAGAAGCAAAGTCACGATGATGCCGAGAGAATCATCATCACAGTAGGGTCAAACGCGTCATTTTGATGCTATGGAGATAAGCTCCACCCTGCCACCATCAATGATACGGTAACAGCGTCATAGAACAAACATGTAACTGGTGGGTCAGCCAGTACTGAGCTGCAGGAGCATGTGCTTTCTAGATGGGTACCGTGCGGCCTCGGTATCGCAATCCCTTCGCCACTGATGGGTTTGCCCACGTTTTGGCTGAAGCTGGGTTTTTGCGGGATCAAGGGAAAGGCTCTTCATCTTCCTGTCCTCAAATTGTCATGGTACGGCGCAGCCAACAAGGAAGCACTTCGCGCTGCAACGGGCCCGGACCCGGAACATCTCCAATCCAAGTCGATCCGTCACCACAGAAACTTCATGGGAATATGATAAAGCCTGAAGCCCATCCAAAAAAAAACTGTGAAATGAATACTGAAATTCCCTGAGGTGCCCTGCCGTGAGGGCTCTCCGTGCGACTCGGACAGAGCCTTCAAATCGCCCAGCCCTTGTGCCTTGAAAGCTAGGGCTCGCAGCCTGCCAGCACAGCTTGCGACCCGCCTCCGCTCCCAGGGAGCGCTTGACGTTGAGGAACGACTCCACCAGCATGGCATTAGCCTGGCTCGGGCTTCGGTTTCTTTCGAGAGTGCTGGCGGCTTTGGGTATGCGGGCATACAACTCCAAAGAAACCGCTGCAGACCTGGACTTCGGGCGTGTTGTGCGCGTGTGGTGGTCGCTGTTCCAAAACCCGCACGTGAATGTGCACGAGGCTTGTACGCCTGTCCTACAACTGTGCCACCTCCTGGCCAGTTTTCTCACGGTGGAAAGGCATCCCGGTGATGCTTTTGCTGGTGTGCAGCCCTTCGGACTTGTGGTACAGAAGCGTCAGTGGGCATGCAGATCCTGCGCTTCCACAAACTCGCGCTATATTGTGGTGCACATGTTGGTGACATCTCTACATGCAACATCCATAGTGGACAATGGTATTCTCGCTTTTTCTCGGATGGGCCACAATCCCCACATGCTAGCTCTGCCTTCGAACATGCAAAGGTCGAAGGAGCGCCAGTGGCTTTTGACAAGAAGGCTACGTTGTCGAGGCTGTCACGTCATGATTCCGAGTACTGAAAGCGAGAACTGAAACGACGACGACGAGATGATGATGATGATGATGATGATGAAGAAGAAGAGGAAGAAGATGATGAAGATGATGATGATGATGATGGTGGTGAGGATGAGGATGATGATGATTATAATAAAAAAGATGATAGTTATAATGGTGAGGATGATGCTGATGATGGTGATGGTGAGGATGATGAGGAATTGTGATGATGACGATGATGGTGCTGATGATGGTGATGATGGTGGTCATTATTGTTCTTAGTATGATGATGACGATAAGAACGATGTTGGCCGTGATAATAATGATGATGATGGTAAATATGATGACGATGATTGAAACTGTCCGAACTTAACAACAGTCATAGTCGTACTCTACCGTGGCATGCGAAGAATGACGAGGGGGAATCCTGCTGAATGATGAAGGCTCGACACTGCATGAGCTAGAAATGGAGTAGACTAGAGCCATGCCACTTCCTACAGGTCGGCGTACGTGCACGAAACTGCAAGGGCAACAACACTGCTCACGAAGCTCTGAGTGATGATGATGATGATGGCCCTGAAAGTATCTTCAGACTTGGTACTTAATGATGCCAAGAGTCATCACTACAATCATAACGATACTAGTAAGCTAACGATGAACAAGCCAAAAAGCCCACTGACGAACAACGCGGACCAATGAATTCCATACGGCTCTGCAATCGTTATTTGTTGGACGAATCCGAGGCATGAAGACAAAGTTCAATGTATTTGTGCGACTCCACACTTAGAGCTCATGTTGCAACTTTATCACCAATACGACCGGGTAATGAGACTCTGGGATCTTTGTGCACTCTGTGCATTTGATGTGCAGAATGGTGGCCAATTCAGCAAGCTTTCAAGCCCCAAAGAGCACCTGGTCGACCTCAGGATCAATCCGATCCAGCCGATCCAGCTCGCTCTGTGGGACTCTCCGGTAACGCTGCTCCTCAACAACCTGTCATGCCCGAAGCAATGTTGCAAGTGCAGCTCTGTAGCAGTGCCGTGGAAACGCATCAATGCAAAGTCCTGTCAAACCCGCCATGTTCCAGGCCCTGCACGGCCATGTCAAGACATTCCGTGAAGCTTTCAAGGGCGCAGTGCTGTGTCCCAAAGTCGCCCGATCCCTAAATTAAAGCGAGACGGCCGAAACGGTCCAGCGAGCTTCGAGCAACGGCGACAGCCGTGGCCTCCACAAAATGGATCAACGGCCGGCACCACTAGACTTGCTAGCTCGCTTGCTAGCTGCAGGCCGTGAGACATCCTGGGCTCAGAACGACCACGCGGCGCCTGATGGAATCTGCCATCATCGCAGGCTTGCAAGCCATCTCCGATGTCCCTGTGCAACTTCGCTCTGTCTTTCGGGACTGGTTGGGGCAGGGCTAATGCTCCTACGGGTCATGAGAGGGGTCGCAGGGACTTGACTGAAACTGAACCCTGCTGCATTTGCACACATGTACTTACGTCGATCTGCGCTCGCCGGAAGCGTGTCTCGTGCATCGGGAGTCTCACGCAAGAAGTTCGGCCTTGACTGGCTGCAGATGGCGTGGCCTCGCTCTGCATATAGGCACCGGGCACAGAATTCATGGCCCCAGCACTAGCAAACGGCAAGATGCAGGGTTGCTAGTTCATGAGATCCGAATGTGCTGCTTGAGTGTGCATGTTTGCAGTACCACTTGTTCCTGCAGATGCCTCGAAAATTTGACACTGTGCAGGCCTGGCTCCTGGACCGCCAAGAAGGCGTGGTGGCGTGGCTCAAACCTGCAGCGGGCCACCAGGACCCCCAGAGGACCCCCAGGCTTCGCCTCAGCCTCCGGCTCCCGGAAACGCTCGGGGAGGCGGTTGCCACGGCGCTGGGCCCGCTCGGCGAAGCCGGAGCTGGCGCTGCCGGACACGGGCGGATCGGAGGACCTCAGCAAAATCAAGGTGTACCGAGCGGGCTCTGTGCCGTGGCCATTTCACCTGCGAGATCTCTGCCTGGTGTGCAAGACCGATGCCATGCGGCCGGTGTCCATCCGTGAAACTATCACTAGCTCGGCAGTACACACATCTTGCCGGCGGGAACTTGTTCAAGCAATGTCCCTGCCAGGGTGCGGCCCTTCTTGTTCGCAGGCGTACTGCCCGCAGACACCTTTGCAAATCGTGAGCGTGGTTAAGAACAAAGGTTTCCTCATCCTTAGCCTTTGCATAGCAGTGGCTGTTTTCCCATATATTTGGATGTGCATTGCAATGCTGTCGGGAACTAAACTTGGCGTTCAACGAGCTCTGGATTCCAGAGGGTCGGCCACTGTCTGGCTACCAGACATGAACTCCGGTCTGTCAGGAGGTCATACAGAAATCACTTTCTTCGCAGAGCAAACTTGCAGCGAAAACTCAGCTTTTGCAGGCCGCGCCCGCTCTGTTCTGCCACCAATGCATGTACTACAACCACACCAAGGAAGAAGAGAGTGACTCTGTTTCCGTGGGTCCCGGCTGTCCCGGGACCAAACGATCATCGTCAAACAGGTAGGGACTGCACCTGCGCCTCCATGGCCAACCGCTTGGCCATTGCCTGGCCAGGACCCATCGTTCCAGCAGAATTAATGTTGGAAACTAGATGTGAACCACCATCAGTGCATCTGAAGTGCTGCAGTAGTTACTGGGCACTGGGAACCATCTTCTTTTCCGTGTACCAGTGTACCCATGCTCGCCTCCAGCTGCTGTTTGGGAACTCCCAGCGGCGCAGGCCCTCTGGCCGGGGGTGGCATTCCTCCCAGCGTTCAGAAATGCGGTTGGCAGATCCGAGATCCGAAATTCCAACACTCCAATCCCATCTGTGACTGTGACGATGGTGGCCTACCATCAGCAAGGATCTGCAAATCCGTGCAGAAACTCTCCGAAGATACCGTAAAGGGCACAGAGATTTCTCAGAGTTACGGCTGCGGCCATGCCCGAGCCTCTTTTCGGTGCCAAAGCTTGTAGCAACCCCGCCGTGGGGAGTGCTGGGACTGCTGGGACCTGTCAGGGCAACCGACATAACTTGTAAACATCTAGAACTGAGAAGCTTGAGAGTTGATGGCAGGCCATACCGCAGTCTGGATGACTTGTCGAGGCTTCAGACGCGGACATGGCACTCTTGAGCTAAGCTCTCAGAACGATCAGCCAAACGTAGCCCAAACGATGCAATGGTGGGGTCGTTGGTAGCATGCAGATATGTGCAGAGCTCACCCGCCTGAACTTGTGGCGAGAAGGACAAGCCCTGCCAAGCAAGGGGAAGGTGAGAAAGCATCTGAGCTCGAAGGTATCCTTTCTGACGGCTATGGGAGTGGCTGGTAGGTACCCCAAAACGGGTAGTGCACAAAGGATCGACCCAGGCATCATGCTGCCAGGTCTGCAGAACTGATGGGTGTAAAGTGAAGCCCGTACGTTTCGGGGGGTTCGCAGGCTGTTACGGTCTGACCATGGAAATGGAAACCTCGGGAAATACGGCTGCTTCGGGGCTAAGCACGTCGACTTGCAACCCTCAGCCCGAGTCGCCGTGGCCAAGCCCAGGGTGGTGGTTGGAGCATAGGCCTCAGAGAAGTGCGAGCGACGAAGGACGGATCGGCCCGGCCCCGGGCCCGGGCCTCCACCACAGAAGCGCATCCGGGACTCTTCATGAAGGCTCAACAAGACGCTGCTGATGCTGGGTTTTATTCCGGGCTTCGCAGTGCTACTCATTGTCGTAGAACGAGGAAAATGTTATATGTATAACTTATATAACTGGAGATTTCATAGTTGCTGCACAGTTCCACGATGAGATCTTGCCGAGGTGCGTTGTAGAACCCGAACTGTCCTGCCCTTGATGAGGAAGTCTTGAATCTTCAACTGTAAAGCTGCTGTCATATACCGAATTCAGAGAGCTGTCTGGTGGTCGAGGGAAAAGTCACACCCTTAATATCAAAGGACCCGAGCCGACTCCAGTTTCTGAATGCCTAGGCTCCACCAGGAAAGCTTACTTTTTCTGAGCCGTACCGGCATTGGTGCAAATATTCCATCCTCCGTCTCGTGAAGCGGTTGGGGAAGGGAGGTGCGGGTGTGCAAAAGATGAAAGCACCAGAGCAGCAAGGACGGCATTTCATGCCTGATCGAAGGCATCAAGTCTTGTTGAAGGCTTGTGGCAGCCTACAAAGCCAGGCGTAGCAGTACTGGTACTGGTCCCATTACTAGCTCTAACAATGCCACAGTACCAGATGATACTTCGAACTTCCCTTATTGCTGTGCAATGTGTAGCCTTGAGCCGCTGAACTATGGAACTTCCGCGAGGAGTCCCTGACGGCGGACGACAAAACCCAACCCCAAATGTCAATTAAACCACAGAAGCCTCAACCCGAAAACCTCAGAACCCGAAACGGCGCGGAAGCTGGGTCAGCTTGAAACTGTTGTTGTTATTAATATTAGTATTACTATTGTTGTTATCATGAATAAAGTTATTCTGGTTATTGTTATCGTTATTGATTTAATTTGGGTTCGCTTTGTTAACTGTTGGAATTAATACTGCTAGTATATAACTATTAATGTGAATAAAATCTTTGTTCTTATTCTTATTGGTACAGTTATTATTACATGGGGGGAGGCACGGAGGAGGACGCAGACTATTATCACTACTGACATTTCTATCATTACGATGACTGCAATTCGTTTTATTAATATTTATTTGTGTTATTGCTACGAGGTTATGACTATTATTGTTATTGTTGCTTTTACTTATTTTACTGTGAGTATAGCACTACTATTGCTATCATGATCATGATTACTATACTATTTTAAGCGCCTGCGGTTGCAAGGTGGCCCATGCGGCTTCGCCGCAAAAGTGAAAGAGCCGCCAGCCTGGCGAGGAAAGAGCCATCGACCACAGGAAGCCAAAAGAAGGAACCTAAACCCTACGGGCAGGGACCTCAACCGAATTCGGCACTGATGAGTTTACTGTCATACTTTTTACGCGCCTGCAGTTGAAGGTGTCTTAGGCGGCTTCGCCGCAAAAGTAAAACAGCCGCCTCAGCCGCCAGTCTGGCGGGGCATGGACCTAAACCTTTCGGAAACCTTAGGGGCTTAGCCGGGCGAAGTGCATCCACCTCCACCATCCTTGGACGAGTTCCACTTTAGAACCCCTTGTTCTCTGCATGCAGCAGCAGCAGCAGCGGGCGCGCAAACGGAGCGAGCTGCATGAGCAGGAGCTGCGCAAGACCTCCTACAAATAAAACTCGATCGTCTTGACCTTGGACCACCGCCCTCTCCAGGCAACCACAGAGATGTCCTCCGTCTCCAAGTAAAAAAAGTGGCAACGCTTCCGCGCACTCCCGGGGTCGGCCTGGGTACAGGAACACCCAAGCGCCCCACGACGGCGTTCCACTGCTTTCGTACACGAGCATCGAGGCAGGGAAGAGGCGGGCGGGCATCAAGTGGGAGGTCACGAGTCACGGTAGAGGGCATTAAGGAACCTAAGCGTCAGGGAGTCCTCCAAACGGCTGCGTTGACGCCCCGCAAAGCAGTGGGTTTTGGGATTTGCGGATATGCACACAAGCAACACAGTCATTCGACATTGCATCTGAAGGCAGCACCAGATCCTGCCGAAGCAAAAGAAATGATTTCCGAAGGATGCAACATGCAAGCCGCCCAATCGTACCAGCCCCCAGCAAGAGCCAAAGCGATTGCAGCCTGAACGATGGGCTGGGAGATGACGGGCCGGCACTGGCCAGGCTCGGCAGCCTGCCACTTCTTGTCCACCTGCCACGCGGGTGTAAGGCTGTTGCGATATTCAGGAAAAGCATCCTGCAAGGCTGCGATGGCATAAACCAAAAGGTATCTAGGAAACCCTTCGGAGTAGTAGCCCAAAAGTTCCAAAGCTCAGCGCCGCCGAGTAGACATGGCCCGTCTAAAGTCAAGTGAAAGCTCGCTTTCAAGCCACGCGACAAAGGCATTCAGGGCCTTCCGCATCTTGCGCTTCGTGGATGCTGCAAAGCCCGCCTCCAGGTCGAGAGTCCCACGAGGCACCGACAGCACGGCATCTCGACAGCGCGGCATTTGCCAACCGCACCGCTTCTCGACGGACCGTCACTGCGATTTTGACTCGAGCACACCGAAGACAACTGCGCAGGAAGGCGAGCAGCGACTCTTAAAGTCAGCAACGCTTGCAGGACCGAAAGAAAGTCCTTTGCACACGGAAGTGGGGCAGGTGTTTCGGGCAGGAGCACGACCCTGCAAGCTCAAGCAGCCAGCCCTTGTTGTGAAGAAGTTGCAGCGGCCGCTTGAAAGGTGCACCGAACGAGCAACAGCAGAACCGTGTAAGGACTGCGCCGACGGAAGCAAGCCGAACAAAGCACTCCGAGTAGAACATCACAAATTGCCGCCAGGCTGCTCGATGGAGAAGTGGGCACCGCTCAAAAAGGCAGAACAGAAAAGCGGTCCGCCGAGCCCAACGATCGATTGTCCTCGGCGAGTAAGCTTGCTCGCTCCTTGAAGCCAGAGGGCTGACTCCTGGAACGAAGCGAGGCCACCGCAAAGTCTGGAAGGACACGCCCGGGAGCACAGCGTGCCCACCCACCGTGCGACGAAGCACCAGAGCATGTCGCTCGTGGCAGAGACTTGCGGGGCGCAGGTCAAACCGACGCAAAGCGCGGTCACCGTCCAAGGCAAAACCGGGAGGATCGCGAAGGCCTGCCCGAAGCTGAGCAGCTGACCATTCACCGGTCGCAGAGAACAGCTGAGGACGTCGTAAAGGACACCTCCGCGCAAAGGACGGCCAACAGGAAAGCGCCGAGGAGGTTCGGGCGTCTCCAAGTGCCCAAGCGTCGGCAGTGAGTCGATGCCGAGGTTCTCCAAGCAAGCAGCAGCCGGGCTGGCCAGCGATTGCAAAAGCCCTGCTGTTCAGAGAACCGCCAAAGCCGCCAAATTCAAAGCTCCTTCACCACGCAGCGGGGAAGGTCGGCCTCGACACCGCCAGCGCAATCAGGGCCAGCATCCATTCAGTGTAATAACTCACACGGACGTCAGCCTGCAGCGAGGGGCCCAACACAGACAAATCCAGGAGCTCGCCTACAGTGTCGCGCCGCAGCGCAAACACGTCGTCAGGAGGCTATAAAGGCCTGGTTCAAGAGGGCAAGCACCGGCATGCGAAGCAGCACTTGAACCCAAAGCCCCAGCACGGGAGAAAACAACGTGCCAGAGCAAGTGCCGATGAGCGCTGTGAGCACCATGAGTACGATGACGCGACACCGTGGGGTGGGGGCGCTCACAATCCCAGCTTCGCCATCAGCCTCCACTCCCAGATGAGTGCCACGCACCTCATCACGACGCCTCTTTCGAGGACGCTGCACGAGCCCAACTTGCTTGTAGCGGCTTCTGAAGCTTCGAAGATGGCAGTGTCACGACCAGGCAAGCCCGCGGCCCAAGCAGAGCGGCTCACGACTTGCACCGTCAAACGATCATCAATCGACAAGAACTCCCATGTGCTAGAACGAGGCACAAGCAACCTATAGGTGACCTGGTTTGAAGGCTTCACACAATTCGCAACAAACCTCAAAACATTGAAGTGAGCCTGTTGAGCGAACTCAACTGCCATATCGCCCATCGCGAGAGCTCTAAGAGAAACATAATTATATGGGGGTTTCCGAAAATAGGGGGTACCTTATTTTGGGGTCCTTATACTAGGGATCCCACTATTTGGGGTACTATATTAGGGTCCCCTATTTTTGGGAACCCCCATATGATCACTAGCAGCGGCCTCATTGAAAGCAGCCAAAGACGATACCTCCTCAGCCTTGAACCGCATGCGGAGGCAATTCCGGCTCGGGACAGCGGGGCCTTGCATTGAAGGTGTAGTACATTTCACTTAAGTCGTCTGTGCTGAACCGAAGTCTGCATTAGGGAAATGGGCAGGAAGGGTAAGAGGAGGAACCCCGGGGCCAAAGATTTTGTGAAGTTGGAGTAGGGTCGCGACCGCGCACCTTTAACTATAAACCGATCGTAATCCAAGTCTTTGGCAACCGAAAATACCGAAAAGCAACCACAAGCTTCACTGTCATCGACTTCCGAACACTGATCCAAGGCAAGCGCCTGACGTTGGTCCTACTTCCCAGCGAGCCGAAGGAGCTCGTCGCGGGTTGCGTGAACCTGCGCGGCTGGAAGCTTGGGCCATTCGCGAGCAGGGGCTCGTAGGGCGTCGGGATTAAGGTACACGGCTCGGGCCACAGGGTCGGTAAGGAAGGGGGGAGGGTCGAAGCTTGGTGGCAGTGTCCACTTAATGCGATCGGCAATCACCTCTTTGCACGCAGCCCTGTTGGCAAACTACAAGAGCCTACGTGACCGGAAGATCTGCTTTTGGGGATAGTTGGCTGTGCCTCTCCAGCAGAGGGCCCCGAATGGCTCAACAGCAACCCCTCCTTTGAGCAAAGGGGGTTGCTTTTAAACTATTTTTACCAATTCTGACGTCATCGGGAGGCCGGGGCCTACGATCATAAGAGTCCCAACCAAATTGGACTTCAATGCAGATTCTTTTCAACACGCTGCAACTCTTGCCATCTCGAGAGCCGGGGGAACGTGAGCGCTCTCTGCTGCGCACTCCCCGCTGCTGATTTCAGCAGCAAGATGGCTTGAGCGTAGTGCTGCGCAAGCCGCTTTG